ACTAGAAAAGTAACGCAAAAAAGCGTTAAAGTAACGCAAGTAACGCTGCGTTACTCGCTACAAAAGCTATGAAAAATAAACGCATCTCGTTAGTAGTTACTGGTAACGCAGTAACGCATGCGTTACTGCGTTACGTGTAAAGAAACGGTAAAGCGCCACCCCTAGTCTCATCTTTGAAAAAATTCGATAAATTAACATTTATAATCGTATTCTGTTCTAGAACCGTCCATAAAATCCAATGTTTTTCATCAAATGTCTCATTTGAAAAATCAAGTCCCGTCAATGGTGAGTCAGTGGCAGTCATTCAAACATCGTCGACGACGACGACGACAATTACTACTACCCTCATCTGGATCATCAATTGATTTCAATTATCCATCAATGCCATTAACTTTTAAAACTGATATTGAATTAAATCAACGATTATCGACTAATCTACTAAAATTATCTCGAATAAAATTATTGAATCAAATTCATTTAAAATGTATCGATTACATGGATTCAACTAATTCTTATTCATTTACTCATCTAAATTCATCGAATGTTTATTGTACATACAATGATTATTGTCCAAATAAATGTTCATGTTGTACATTCGAAGCATGCGATTGTCGTCTCGTATGTCCATTAAATTGTAATTGTATTCATTCATCAGATTGGATCTATAATATTGTTAATTGTTCATCAAAAAATTTATCTTCTATACCCTATTTTATTCCATTAACAGTGACTAATTTATATCTTGATAAAAATCGAATTTTAACTATTCCATCAACATCAAATCATACAAATAGAAAAAATACATTAAATCATTTAAAATATCTTAAAAAATTATCATTAGAAAATAATCTATTAGAAAATTTAAATGGTAATGAATTTTTTTCAATGAATAATTTAGAATATTTAGATTTATCATCGAATAAAATTAATTTCATTAATGAAAATACATTTACCTATTTAACAAATTTAAAATCATTATTAATACATAAAAATTATTGGCAACCAAAATTTTTTTCATCATATAATTATTTTCAATCAAATATAAAANGTAAATGATGCATCATTCTCTTGATGTTCATATGCTACATTTTGTTTTGTTGATATTAAAAATGTTAAGTTATGGTAAAATGAATGATATGATATATTATTGTAATCGTACATACGATGTATCATCGATCGATGGTGATTATTGTTGTAAAAATAATTTTTATAGTGAATCATGTAATAAACATTATGATCGATATTTTAATGAAAAATTGGGAAATTATGATCAAACTCATTCGAATGGATTTTTATCAATATTATTTCATAAAAAATATCGATACTATTTTATTATTGGTGGTAGTCTGTTTTTATTTGTTATATTTTGTTTGATTATTCTATGTATCATATGTATTGTTTGTCGTCGACGTCGTCGTGATCATGAAAATGATACTCAATCGTCAAACAAAATAAAACAACGAACAACAGTTACAAAAAATCTAATTAATTCACAAATAAATAATAATCATTATCATAAAACTAGTATTACATCAACACAGGTAACAAATCAAACAGCAATACAAAAATTTTTATTATCAACAAAACAAAATGTAGCATATGAACATCAAGAGAATGATGCATCATTTACAGATGATGATGAAAATGAATCTCAAGAATATGAATCAATTCCATTGAATATATCAAATCAAAATTTAAATATAAGACAGACACAACAACAGACGTTTGGTCCACCACTACCACCACCCAGACAGAATAATAATCGACCATTATCTCATTCATCAAGTATAACACGTTCAATTGTTCCACCAGTACAACATCGAATATCTCTCGTTGAACGAAAGAGTTCAACAAATTCAAATAAATCAATGATACAACATCAAAATTCTATGACACGTTCATGTTTAACAATTAAATTAGATGCATTAATATTATATTCGATTTGTGATAGTGAATATGTTCATAATCATATTGGAACAACATTAGAAGATATTTACTGTAAACGTTTTAGTTTTTATTTTCTACATCGCGATCGAATGATTGGCGATTTAGATTGGTTAATGAACAATGTGCGTATTAAATTTAAATAATCTCAGCGCGATAAATTCTAAAAATATTTTACCCTTTTAGTCGATATTTCTAATCTACACTATTAGTAGCACTGCTGACTATTAGAAAAAAATAGTTTACACGTATATTTTCTTACCGTTTTTTCTGTGGAACTTCAGAGATGCAGATAAACTGATCACGTAAAGCAGCTAAAACAGAGAATATTTTGAAAATTCGAAGAGAAAAATCTTAAAAATGAACTGGGAAGTTTTCAATTTTGAGTGGAAAAAAGTCTAAAATAAGTCATTCTACCATAAATACATTTTCACCAGATTTCTAAACTTTTTGATAAAAAATAACACTATTACGAGACGCAGTCTGGTCGATAGTTTGTCCTTCATCTATTTTCGAAGGTTCCACTGTCCATCTCTCATCCTGGGACTTCCCGGGTCTTCGCTGCTACGCCCAAATTATGACAGATAAAGAGTTCGAGTGACTTCTTTTTCTAACAGATAATAGATAGTTGCACAAGGCATAATAGTAACAGTGTCCTGTGCAAAATAAAGGAAACTCCATGTAACGATTAGACCTAGTCCAAGCACGCTTCAGCAAAATCTTCTCTTCATTTGTAGTAATATCTTCTCTCTTTTTCACTTTTTAGTCATGTGTCATTATCATTATAATCAAAAAACCTTACAATACAATTAACGATTACATGAAAATTTTAACTACATCATCATTAAAACGTTTTGTCATTTTAATTGATGGAAACGAAAATACAGTAACGACAACAAAAACAGCATCATCGGTATCTCTACTACACAAAAATGAAGAGAAAATTGCACGTCTCTATAAAACACAAGAGGTTTACGAATGGTCAGATCCAGATTTACATGAAAAATTAGAAATATTTTTAGAAAATAATTGTGGCTCGGCTACCTATGTACCGTGCTGAGATGTTGGATTTTATGCTATATTCGATCTACTTCAACAACTAGTACTCGAGTGACGCCGCTATGCATAGTTTATATCTCATTATACTAACAAAAGTTATG